AACCAGCCTAGTAAGCTCCTACCTTTGCATTGGTTGACCTCTCTCTTGGGCAAAGCTGAGCTGTGCCACTGGACCCATCCTCATGGAAAGAAATATCTGCTGACTGATGTGGTAGTGCTGGTTTGAGAAGAATGAGACTAGGTTTCAAGACTTTTGGAGTTTTGTTGCTTTTATAAATCATCCATACAATTCCATCCCTGGACCTGAAACAAGTCTGATAAGACCTAGAACTTTCACAGAACCCAGCAATTAAGAAAACAGCATTTTTGCTCTCACCACAAAGAAATATCTAGACAAGATATTTTGAAAACTTCACAGTTCAGCATATTCCCATAGACTTCCTTCTGGTTAGAAACTGATTCTTTGAAATCTATAAAGAATAAAGGAAGGTAGGCAATTACAACCAAGGTTTTCTGTAGATGGTTGGATGAGCTTTGAATCGATCTTCCTCTCTCTCTTCCCCATCCCAACCCCTCCCCCCAACAACACACACCCACAACTGTCTGAGGTTGTTGGCTTGTCTGCAGTGGATGCTTTAAGATCAGTGTGGTTTTGCATTCTTCAGTCCTAATCTTTAACAACAGTGCAGAATCCCAAAGGAATGCCAGATAAAATGAGCTGACTTGGTTTAGTTTCACTTAATTGGTATACATTGCTTTTTGTTTCTGGTGGATTAGGGTAATTGTTTACCTTCTTTCTGCTTGATCAGTGATGTTTAGACCTGAGTGTATCTCTTAAAGATGTTTACTTGGTTTGAAACTTCTGATGAGAGTCATGATCATTAATCAGAAAGCCAATTCAGCCCTCTGGAAGCTTCTTTCAGTCCCAACATTTATCTGTGGTATAATTATAATGAGCCTGAAAGTTGTATGACCGCTGTTTGACAAGGATTTGGCTCTTGCATCTTCATGGCCTGATAGAAGACTAATGGGCCCTGACCTTGCATGTCAGTAACCCATCAATGAACCCTCTCAGTGACCAACTCTGAAGTTGATACCCTCTCTGGCCAGCGTCATCCCTTGGACAGTGGTCCCTGATGTCCTTTTGGGTCTTTTTCTCCTCTGTCTAATTTCTGCTTGTCTTTCTGTCCATGCTTGTCCATCAGTCATCTTGGCTGCCATTCCTCCTGTAGTGGTCAGATGTGTTCATGTTCTAGCCTCTGGCTTTACTGTCTCTTCTCTATTATTTTCTTTCTGCTACTTTATTCTTCCTCAAAATATGTCCTTCCCTCCTTTCTAATTCTGTTTCTTCCTCTAAAATGGGTAGTTATCAACTGGAAAGCTATTTTGTTACCAGTGAAAGTTTAGCAATGTCTGGAAACATTTTTAGTTGTCACAACTGTAGTCAGTGGTGTTTTTACTCACTGGCATCTCGTGGGGAGAGATGGGTACACTCCTAACCATGCCATCATGCCCAGAGCAGTCCATCTCCCTCACATGAGGAGTCATCTGGTTCAAGATGTCAGTAGAGCTGAGGCTGAGAAATCCTACTATTGACAGTCATTTGCTCACCTCTCCTCTCCACTTTAATTTTTTTATCTGTTTCCAAATCCCAGTGGCCTCTTCCCTCCTAGTGCCTCCCTTTCACTTATCTTCCATCAGCTCATTCTTGTACTTCTTACTTCACCATCCTTCTCTACTCAGTCTCGTCAGGCCTCTATACTTAATCCAATCTCCCTCTCTTTCCACCTTTGTTTTCATGGCATAGTTCAGCAGCTACCTCATGTCTCAGCTGTCCTGGCATGAACCCAGGATCTGTGAAAATATTTTTCTTAGAATTCTGTTTATTTTCTAAGTTTTCACAAATGTGAAGCAGCCCTTAAGGTCCGTGCTTCTGGTTTCCACATTCCTCGAGTGTATCACATGTGGCTGAACTGTGCAGCCATGCCAGCCCTTGCCCTGACCCTTTTGGCTCCTTCCTGCCCCTTCAGCTCACCTGTTAGTTTCCACGTGCCGCTTGTGTTGGTTGGTATGATGGTAGCTGCCCTTCTTCCCCTGTAAGAGGGGGAAGCAACACCTTTGTCTATCTTTCATTCATACTTTAAAAAAATGGATGAATGGGTGTTGACGAGATGCTAAGCAATGCTGGGTATTGGATTAACTAGTGTAAAGGAGAGAGAAACTGTCTCCAAGGAGCTGCAAGTCTAATGGAGAGATGAGCAAGGAAAATATCCATGCCCAAATCAGTGCTGGATGTGAGAGGAAAGAGCAGTGTGAGCTAAAAGGAAAAGCTCTTGTGTTAGTTTCCTACAGCTACAGTAACGAGTTAGCACAGTTTAGTGGCTTAAAACAATGCGTGTTTATCTTACAGTCTACAGGTCAGGATTAAAGTTGAGGCATGGCAGGTTCAGTCCCTTCTGTAGGATCTAGAGGAGAATCAAGATCATGCTTTGCTTTTTCTGGATTCTGGACCACCTGACCTCCTTGGCTCCTGAACCTAGGCTCCATCTTCAAAGCCAGTGGTACAGCATCTTCTAATCTCTCATCCCTTGCTTCCTCCATCACATCTCCTGCAACTCTCTCTCCATCCTCTCTCATATAAGAACCAGCAGCATATCTACCCAATAATCTACCCAATAACCCAGGATCTACCCAATAATCCAGGATAATCTCCCCATTGGAAGATCCTCGACTTAGTCATTTATGCAAAGTTCCTGTGTTGTATTAGCTAACATATTGACAGGTTCTGGGGAGTAGAGTATGAGGATATCTTGGGGGCCCAAAATTCAGTCTACCACACACCTCTCATTGCTCAGGCGAGGCAGGTGGCATCAAGGAGGAGGTGAACCCAGTGAAGGCTAAAGAGTAGTGCACAAAGGTTCTGGGGCAGTAGCAGGTGTGACATAGGCTGGGACTTGCCAGAAGTTTGATATGGTAAGGATGCTGAGTGTGTGTGTGTGTGTGTGTGTGTGTATGTGTGTGTCGGGAGCAATGCTGCATAATTTTAGGGTAAAATCATTTGGTTAGCCTAGTTCTCCTGCCTACAGTCTTCCATCTGCTCAGTTCCTCATTGTTCTTGGATTATTACATCTTGTTTACACCGGCTGTACTGAATTCTCTGCAAGTCATTTCTTACATTTGTTTCTCCCAATGTAAGGTAAGCTGGGGGCTTTCATCTTTGCTGCCCAGAGCAGCACTGATCAGACCCAAAGCTCAGCTTCTTCTCAGTCTCATTTTTCTACCTTTCCTGTAATTCACCTTGGCTCACAGAAGACTAGGACTTCCTGCAGAGGTTCTAGTAACGTCCCCTTTCCCTGTTCCCTACGTGTGTGTGTGTGTGTGTGTGTGTGTGTGTGTGTGTGTGTGTGTAAGGACAGTCAAACACTAATGCCAGAAAAGAAGGTAGAGTCAAAGTTCAGAGCTCCTTTTGTAGGGAGTATGGTCACTGATGGGTTTTGGGAAGGTACCCAAGTTCTGAGTTGCATTTAGAGGTGTGCTGTTGAGTCTGTGGTACTGGCAACCTGTGGCAACTGAGCACTTGAAATGAGACTTGTCCAAATTGAGATGTCTGGTAACTGTATATACTTAGTATTAAAAATGTATATGCAGCACCCTATTAAACTTTATATGGATGATATTTTGGACATATTGGGTTAAATATAATTTATTAATAAAATTGACTGCACCTGTTTCTACTTTTGTAATGAGGCCACTGACCAATTAAAATTGTATAAGTGGCTCTCATTATATTTCTTTTGGACAGTGCTGATCTAGAGGCTCAGGAGAAAAAATAGAAGTGAATGAACTCAACAAGAAGTGAGATAGACTAAAATTGTGGCACTGTTGTGGAGGATGGGAGGGGAGACATGGGGAATCCTGTGAGTGACCATGGGTAGGACCACGTGATTGCTGATTAGCAAAGAGATGGAGACATTGAGGACTCTAGTCCTGCTTTATGCAAGTGGATGGAGGTAGGAAAAGGCAAGTTCCCTTTAGGTGCGTAGATTGTCATGGCAACAGGACACAGTGGCATCTGCTCACTAGTACTATGTGGAAATGAAGTAAGTGGCCTGTAAGCCCCTTCTCCACCCCAGCCCCAACGGTGCAGCTTTTGCAGTCTGACTTACACTCTTTCAGTATTATGAATATAGGGCCGGGAATTTAGCTCAGTGGTGTTGTGCTTGCCTGGCAAGTGCAAGGTCCTGCGTTCGATCTCCAGTACAAAAAAAAAGAATGTAGCATACATTTTCTCAGCACGGAGGCTGGGAGACAGGCAGGGTGACACCTCTTTATACCATACTAAATAACTGCCCCTCCTCACAGTCTCTTGGCTCAGCTTTGGTCCCTTCTATCAGCCACCCAACACATCTGTTCCTTGGCCAAGGCACAGCTCAGGATACAGAGCTGTGTAAGCGTCATGTATTTGTGGTCTTGGGGACCAACTGCGTCTCTGTTTTCTCCCGTTACTGTTTCCCAGGGGCTCCTCAGGCCCTCATGCAAATAAAATCCTTTTAGGACATGTCTGGATGTGCCCAGATTTTCTGAGTGTGATTCCTAGTGACACACTTCGTAAGTTCCTACACATGTGGTGAAGGGAAAAGAGCAATTCTGCAGGGAAGTTATTGTTGTTAATTTACAAATGAGCAAACACCCCTAGAAAGATTGTCACATCCTATGTGGTGTTTGGGGGACTAGAACTCAAACCTGCTTCCACCACCATATTTTTGTTAGTTTTTAAATTGGAGGTTTTTGTTTTGTTTTTCTCAGAATACCTATTGGTCCTCCCCACCCCCATATTATAGAATAGTAGGGAAGTTATAATACCTTCGAGAGTTTTTAATCTCTTGATTTCTATAAATCTGACACCTTAAACCCCTAAACTCTGATACCTTTCCAAAAACATTATCGATCATTCCTTAAATATTTGCGGCATGAATGAATGAATGTTTTCCATTGTCCTACAACAAAGCGATAAAAAACGTTAAGACAAAGCATTCAGCAGGTTCGTTCTCAACACTTTGTTATGAAGAGAAGTGTCACTGCACCTCTACTATCTTACAGACAACAGTTCTTATGATGTCCGCCTGGAGGCTTACACAAGACTTCCTGAAGAAAGGATTCCAATAAAACCGAGCATCATGGCACAGGTGGTCATCCCAGTACTCAAGGAGGCTGAGGCAGAAAGATCACAAGTTTGAGCCCAGCCTGTCTCAAAAACAAATACACAAAGGATTCCACCAAAAATAAGTGTGGAATTACTGATATATTCTGGACAGATGATGTCTACAGATGATGCTGTCACTCTGAAGAGTCAGGACCACACAGCACATTCGTGGTTCAGACTTCCCAGGGGCCCAGTGACTGCCTTGTACCTCAACTACAACCTGACCTGGCACAAGTGCAATTAGAGCAGTGATCGCCTGAATTCATTGTCAGATGGGGAGGAGGTTGTGTGAAATTGGCTGTGACTGTCTCCTGAGTCCCCAGGAATTAGAGATAAGAAGGAACCCTGGTGTTTCACATTGCAATTATTTGCTGTTGGTAGCAACTAATAAAATAATGGGCCAGGGCTCAAATTCTAAAGCCAGGCAGACCCAATATGTCACTGAGCCTTTCTTTCCTCATGAGGAGATTGGGAACAATAACCTGGCTTCCTTCAATGCCTGTAGAGAATTAAGTGATTAGACACATTTAGAACACTCAGGACAGCCCCTGGGACATGAGAAGTACTAATGTGTTTATTGTTGTTGTTATTAGGATGTGGTGCTTAAGCAGGGAAACTTGCCTTATTAAGCTTCAAAATATTTCTGGTATTTGTAAGACACAAAAGATCTATTTGGGAAAAGAGTACATGAGTGGGTACATAATGATTAGAATTTGTAAAAGATTGGTAGTTTGTCATTTCACCATCATTGGTGATAAGGGGGGTATAGCAGCCATCAGTGACACTAGATGACACTGGAGAGAAGATCTGACAGGGAGAACATTTTGAGTGGTAAAGAAAATCTATACTGTGATAAATGAGATCATTATGTATATCAAAAGTATAGCAATAAAATTAATTTAAAAAAGAAAATCTCAAAGAACATAGTGGTTAGGGTGGAGTGCCAATTTGATTGGCTTTGGGATCTGCCTGGGGCTTTGGTGGAGAACACTCCTGGGTGGGTCATCAAAGTGTGACGTTGGGGTCTGTGTCTGGTCCCTCTCCCCTTCCTCTCTGGCACTGTCCCTCTGTTCTGCTTCCTGGGCTCCTTGAACCAGGCAGCTTTGCCCCAGCCCACCCTTCCACCATGATGCTTCTACCTTAGAGCCAGCTGACTGTGGGCTGAATCCCTTTAAAATGTGAGCCAACAGTGGTTTTGCTGCCTGCTGTGCAAGCACAAGGATCCGAGTTTGATCCCCGGTACCCCCCCAAAATAAATTAATTAAATTAAATAAAATGAAATGTGAGCCAAATTAAACTTCTCCTCCTTAAGTTGTGGGTGTCCAGTATGGTGTCCCAACAACCAGAATAGCTGACATACAAAGGGCCAGGGGCGTTCAGGATTTCTCCTATCTTGTGACTTTTTCTCTGGAAATGCACTCTGAGACCACCATAATTTCTATCAGTGCAAGTGGTCCTGAGAGGAGTTTCTTTTCAAACCTTTATCTTAAATGTATCTTTTTAAACCTTTGACTTAAAGATCTGGGATCAGGTTTAGGCCAAGAAAACGAAAGGTCAGAAAGCTTATTCATTTTCCTAGAAGCCTTCTACATAGAGCTGTTGACATGTTTGCAGGCAATTGGTGTTGAATTAGTGCATGTATGAATGAAGGAATGGTGGGGAGCCCTTCCATGGGGAGGGTACAGCACAGCAAGGATCCAGAAGTTTAATTCCAGCCAGCCTTCCTATTGAAGACCCCTCCTTCACAGATGAATGAACTGTGAAATGAAGTGATCCAGTTAAACACACACAAAGCTTAGTGGAATCACCACAAGAATCAGACATACCACATTACATCCCCTCCCCTAATACCAGCATGGAAGACCAACATTCTGAAACAGGCCACTGTAACTGGAGATTCCTGCATTTGACCCCAAAACACAAAACAACCCATGACTCTCAGGAGCAGTAAGTACCCCTTGTGACAGCTCCGTAGCTCTGTATTTATTTATTTCTCACTTCTTGCAAAAACACTATCAGCATTCAATCAAGCCTCAAAGAAAAGGGTCAGGAGGCAAGTGGTTTAAACTGCCTAAACTAAACAGTCCTTTCCCGTGAAAACTATTTTCTTTCTCTCGAGGCCAAACTGTTGTTCTCAATACTGTGAGGAATACACAAACGAGGGTGAGCTGAGGCATGAGTCAGGGTGAGTTGTTACCATGCTAATTTCTCTCCATGACACGACATCACAGCACCTCTTTGGAAATGAAGACAATGATGAGAGTGTTCTCGGCACACTGGTAAGATCCTTGCACAAAACTATGAAACTCATAGCCTCTACTGACTATTTTGAGGCTGGCATTCTTATCTTCTGGCCTGAATGCTCTGAAATACAAGGTCAAGAGCTACTTTGGGGGGGGATTTAAGGAAACAGCAAGATTCACCATATGCCTTCAAAATTGTCATTCCTATAAAGGGAACTTTGGTATAGAAAATGTAATGCTAGAAGATTATTTTCCCTGTGAGTTCAAATTGAGACTCAGAAACATTCAAGAGCCCTTTATGCATCATTTATACCCTTATTTTTCCCCTAAGAAGGACTTTTTCCCAATGGCTGTCTGCATGCCTTGAAAGAGCCATTATCCTGTTTTGTGATACCACTATCTATTGCCAGGCAGAGGTGCTGGTGCCAGACTAAGAAATACATGCACATTCTTCACATCTCTGGAAGTTGGCTGGCTCTCAGCAAGAGCATGGGCCTCCTGGTGTCATTCTCAAGATTGAGTTTGTATCTGTCATGCATCAATAACAATTCTGGCAATCTTTTATCAATTGTTCACTCAGCCCAAGTACTGTTCCAAGTGATTTGTTGGTGTTAGTCATCATACTAAGCCTGCCAGGTAAGTAGTAGTATCTCTATTTTATAGTTGAGAGAGTAGAAGCATAGAAGGGCAATCACTTACCCAAAGCCACATGGCCAGTAAGTGACAGAGCCAGGAATCTGAGGCAAATTGTATGCTCTAGGAGAGCCCATGCTAGTGCATAGCCACTTCTATATCCGGCTGGCCCAGTCTCTTATCTGAAGAGGCTATTTAGCAGAGTCACCATCTAGGCCACTGTCCTACAGAAATCTTACTTGCATCTCCCACTATTGTTTCACTGATAGGTCCTGCCTCCCTCAAACCCCTGGAAGTCTGCAGTGGCCTGAGTCATCCAGCTGGGCAGCCTGTGCTTTGCCTACAAACAAGTTGTGGGGTTCCTTATGAAAGGAGGAAATGAATCAGAAGTTCAGTGCAATGTCCTGTAGTGATTTCTTACCATTCACAATTCGTTGTCCAATTTGGGTGATTCATAGTACCAGGATTCTAAGGGCAGCTCCTGCATGATCAGGCAGCTCTGTGGCCACAGGCTGTGTGCACAATTCGAGGCACCCACCTTGCAAATTCCTAGAGTTGAGAGGGATTTCAATGGAAGTGGGTGACAGCAAGAATTACCACACCCAGAATAAACTTCAGCCACATGCCCTGGTGAGGGATGTACCTGGGAACAGTAAGAGGACGTGTTGCTATATTATTTACAAGAACAATTTCAGGACCATTTGTCCAGAGCCTGAAGTCCAAAGTAAGATTTAAGAGCAAGGAGCCTTATACTCTTTGAATATGTCATTCAGACCTTGTGCATAATACATTCCTAGTGAATGATTTTTGAATAAAAAAATTATTATTTAATGCATTATGGAGTTTTTCATGAACATCTCTTATTAAATGATACCACCATGGTTGAAGGAAAGGATCAGATTATGTTCATTTCACACATTGGTTATAGAAGTATTTGTAAAATCTTGTCATCTCATCATCATTGTAGACAGCCACTATGGATATGAAAGCTGAAGACCAGTACACAGTGATCTCTCCTCTACCATGCCACTTCCCCTCAGGTATACTGAATGCTATAACGTAGATTGGCTGCCTGGCTCTGCCTTCTGTTTTTTATTTATGATTTCTATTAGCCTAGCTTCTGAGGATTTCCAGCTATATACGGCTTTCTTGAGTAGTAACATAACTAGCAGAAGGCCAACAGGGTGTACAGGTACCCTAAGAAAGGATTTAACAGAATCTTAGAGATAAAAATAGTATTGTAGACAGCTAAGTCTGGTAGAAATATCAGACAGGGCTAGGCTTCAAGGGAGTCAGTGCAGAAGATGAGAACACATTACAACTGTGGCTAGAGTTGCATCCATTGAAGGTCAGGCCTCAAGATGAAGATGGAATGACTAGGCCTGCATGCCTCCCCAAGGGATAAGCAATATACTCTAACTGGTATTACCTGGTCTAATAAAGTCTAGATAGACATCAGCCACCCCAGTGATGGCCAAGACCTCCTGATACATCTCTTTCTTCAAAGGTCCTTGTTCTTTCTATGTACACTTGCTATGTGACCTACTTCCCCATTGGATCAATATCACCTAAGTGGCTATACTTGTAATCTTATTGGTTGATCATAGTTTTGTCCCATGTTGTCCCTACCTCGTGATTTTGTACCCACCTCTTGATTTTGCTCTATAAAACTTCTTCTGTGAAGTGGGGTACACATCAACCCCATTTTCAGGTGCCCTCCTGTCTCTCAGGGGCTATCTCGCCCAATAAATATCTTCTACTCTTCACTTCTATTGTTCCTTAGAATTCATTCTTTGATTTTGGGAAACACAAACTCAGTGTATCTGACATTCAGCCGGTTGGGAGTTACATTTGTTTCCCCTATATCAATAGGAGGTAACAGTTAACAGCATTGTACCATATAAATCAAAAGAGCTTAAGGAGAGGATTTTGAATGTTCTCATCACAAAGAAATGATAAATGCTTCCGATGATGGATGCCCTAAATATCCTGAGTTGATCATTGTACAATGTACACACATACCAAAATATCACACTGTACCTCCTAAATAGGCACGATTATTTTCTGTCAATCAAAAAACAAATAGGTAGTACACTAGGCAAAGAACTGACCCCTACCCAAGAGGGGCTGTGGGAGTGGGCTCACTGGGTGGGAAAGGGCTGATAAGAGGCAGCAGAGATAAGAGGCCACAGCCCAGTGTGCAGCCAGAACAGAGTTGGGGTTCATCCTCCTCTCCGTGAGTCTAGGTCCGTGCTCACAGTTCAGTCATTAATTTATCCTTCATGTAGCTAGAAGATACCTTGTGGGTTTCTAGACCCTCTGGATTTCAGTTCTCCCTGAAGCTCTCTGTGGCCCAGCTGCCTTACCAGACCTTCTTAGTCTGGAAGAGGGAAAGGAAATAGAATTAAAAACCCATCGTCTCCAGTTCCACTAGAAGGCTGAGCAGGAGAGGACGTTGGAAGTGATGGCTTAATGAGGTGTTGTGATTGTTGGAGGTGGCCTGGTCCCCGCTGGGAAGTTACTGAAATCCGGGAGAGGTCTGCCAGAGGGGAGGGGAGTCCACAGGGCAGGACACTGGGAAGGGACGCATCTGTGTACTCTGCACTGAATGGTCTCCTTGCAGGCCACTGCTTTTCTTGGGGAGGCCACCACATTTTTTTTTTCAGTGCTAGGGATCAAACTCAGGACCTCCTCACTAATGCTAGGCAAGCATTCTAAAGCTGAGATAGTTCCCCACCCTTTTATTTTATTTTTTTGAGGAAAAAAAAATGTTGCTATCCTCTTGCTTAAGCCTGCAGAGTAGCTGGAATTACAAGTGCTACCATGCCTGGGGCAGAGCCTCAATTGCAAGGATCAAAAAAAAACAGACCTTTTTTGAAGATCAGAGAGAAACAGCACCTTGCCTCATTCTCCAGGGTCAATGAGTCCAAGACTGAATGTCATCCTCTCCCCACCACGGAACGTTAGTTGAAAGCCTTGAAAAGCATTTCAGAGGTGATGGCATTAGTGAGCCATTCCTCCCCATCTCCCCGATTCCTCACCAAGGAATGCCATCTAAACAGTATTCTAACCACTCTGTATAATTCAGTCACGAGAGCCATTTGGTTCTTTTGTTTGATTTTGCTTTTAGAGAGAGTGTTTCCATATGCACATGATATATTTCAGAAACAAATCTGAAAGGAACCATGGTCCTCACAGCAGGCCACTGTTGTGAGTTAAATCGCAGTGGTCTGACCTCAAAGTGCATGTTTTGGCAGTAGTCACAGCTGGCCAAGGTTGCTTCTACTTACTCATCTTTCTCTAGGCTCCCAACATGTTTTCCTGGAATATGCTTGGGGGTGGGGCTTATTTGTAATCTCACATAATCCTCATTCTCTTACAGAACGCATGCAGAGGTTGCTCTCCATGGGAAGAACAGCAGCTCATGTGGAAGGTGCTTGGCACCCCTGCTACCTCTAACGTGTGTCCAATTTAGAAGATTCTTGGCCTCTGAAGACAGGCTAAGGGACAATGGCCCATCTTGCAGATGTCACATCCTGTCCTTCAGGATTGCCAGTTCAGTCTGTACCTCACCTTCAGCACTGACATCATGAGTGATCTGGAATGAGGACAAGGACAATGCTGGCGGTTCTGCTTACTGCTGGTAGCATCCTCGTTCCTTCACTTTACTGCACATATTAAGCAAGCTTACCCTTGAATCTGTGATAAATTCTGGAATGAGCATTGGCTAGAAACAGCTACAGAATGATTTCAGAAAAGTCAGGAGAGACATTTTAAGAATACTATTTAGAGAAATGAAAATAAACCAGAACTAGGAAGACCCCACGTTTTGATTTATGACTGTACTGTGTCCCTTAATAACTTTGGGCCATGTACAAACAGCTTAATCTTCCAGTTTCCTTATCTTTTAGATGAAGGTGAGTACAATCCCCAACACATAAGATTGCTGTGAATTTAGATAACACATGGAAATCCCACAGGGCAGGCTACTCAGCATATAATATGTGCTTAGCAAACTGTACATACGTTTCTGTGAATGTGCACTCAGTGACTACAGAAGCCATGAACAAGCATCCTAATTTTATACCACACTTCAGGATCATAAGAAGGTCACTTACATATCTCTTGGTGTCAGATTTTCTTCTGAGAAAATGATGTACTCTTATGGTTTAGATCTCAAATGTCCCCCCAAAGGTTCATATAATCATAGGTGGGGTTTTGGAAGGTACCTGGATCACTGGGGACTCTACGGTGAATTTGCTTTTATAAGGGGGGGCCTGGTAGGAAGAAGTGGGTCACTGGGGCTGTGAACTAGAAGGGTGTATGTCTTTTCTCGGCTCCTCCCTTCCCTCTGCTCCCTGGCTGCCATGACATGAGCAGCCTTCCTCTGAGGCAGGCCCTTCCAATATGCTGTTTCTGTGTTTGAGTTTGCTAACCACTGACTGAAACTTCTGAAACTATGAGCCAAAATAAACTTCTCCTTTGAGTTATGGGTATCAAGTATTTATTGGTCTTAGCAATGAAGAAAGTGACTAAGACCTGTACCTACCTCAAGAGTTGGACAATCAATCGAATAACATTCAGACAGTGTTTTAACTTCTACTGAGAGTTACACTATGAACTCAAATTGACATTCTGCTCCCTCATCAACATAAGGGAAAATTATCTTTGTAAAAGGCAAAAGATTTATATGATCTGAAGAGAAACCAGAATATTGGAAAATTATCTTATGAATCTACATTTGCAGATGTCTTTGTTGAGCTTGTTCTATGAGTATTTTATTTATTTTTTTGTTACCAGGGATCGAACTCAGGTCATTGTGCTTGTGAGGCAGGCGGGGGATCCACTGAGCTAAATCTCTGGCCCCTATGAGTATTTTATAAAGCCACTTTCCCAGTGAGTTTATCATACATACTACAAATTCTCAGATTACCAAGGATGTTCCATGAGCATAGATGATTGGATAAAGCATGCACAATTCAGTGACAGTTAATGTTTGTAATTGATTTATCACACGCAATCAATCAGTGAGCTTTGGGGTTTATATAATTGCTTTTTGAAAGCTCCTAGTGGCCAATAATTATCAAGAATGATGAGAGTAAATATAAGAAAACCTACAACCAGAATGCACACTTTGGTGACTCAGGACATCCCCAGATGGCCTGCAGTTGAAATATGCTGGGGCAGACTTTTCTCATCAAACCACATTCTGGAAAATATCTTCTTTTCTTTTGGCTCATTTGCAACTGAAATGGACTCAAATAGCTAAATCATGCCTCATATGAGGAGTTAGGCAAATGTGTCCTAAATAGCTGTGTCTCCCTTTATCCCACGATGCCATTACACTGGGTCATGTCACTAAAGCTGAAATTCAGAGAAAATTGGGAAATGCCTAGAAAACAGTAATTTACTTGGGAGGGTACCTGTACTGATGTTGGGCCTACCACGTGTAGGTGCCATGATCTCAGAATGCTGACGTGATCTTTTTGAAGTTTGGAATTTAAACAATATGTGTTGGTAAATGATCAAAGGGAAACTTTCCATTGTTATGTTAATTAAAGCCATTCCACAATTGTGGGAACATGTTTTTATTACTTATTCACTGTTTCCAGCTAAGCAGTAGGAACAAATACTCATATGAGGTACTGCAATTACTAAGGATTTCACTTTCCATTTCCTGATGTTATGGGTTGAAGTGCACCCTCCAAAAAGATATGTTGAAGTCTTAACCCAAAGTACATCAGAATGGAACCCTATTTGATAATGGGGTCATTGCAGAGGTAACCAGTTTAAATCAAGTTTTATTAGAGAAGAGCAGGCCTTTAACCAATGACTGGTGTCCTTATAGAAAAGGAGAAAAGACACAGAGAGATGACCATGTGATGACAGAGGTAGATTGTAGTAATGCATCTAGAAGCCAAGGAATGTCAAGGGTTGCCAGAAACTAGAAGAGCCAAGGAAGGATTCTCCCCTACTGGATTCCTAGGAAGCATGGTCCTGCCATCACTTTGGTTTCAGGCTTCTTTCCCCTGCTACTGTGAAACCCTAAATTTCCATTGTTTTAAGCTGCCAAGTGTGTGGTACTTTGTTAAGGCAGTCCTAGGAAATTAATACCCCTGGTTTGCACATTTCCTTTTCAATATATATTCACGGTTGGTTTATAACATAGGAAAAGCAAGTTGTGGTAAACATTCAGAACTTAATCCTTAAACCATTTGCATCTGCTTATAGTTTAGGCCTCATCAATATGTAAGCATTGCCACATCTGAAGTGGTCAGCTAGAGGGCTCTTTAGAACTATATGCAGCCCCAAAAGTACTGATAATAGAAAGCAGTTACCATTGTAAAATGTCAGGTTTCTTGATTTAAAACATTAATATACCTCTTTGTCTGGCTATGTAATCACCAAATGGAATATTTATTATCCTATCAGTACTTAGAAGAAAATCACTGGAAAGTATCACTGAAAAGCATTACTTTTAGTCCCAGAATAGTAAATAGGTCAGGTACGAACGCTTACAGAATTATTGTGACTTTTCTTGGCCTTGAATTCCGTGTCCTGTCCTAGTTAGCCTTACTAGATAGTTGTTTTAACCACTACTTTTGCTAGTTAAAGTTGTGTCAATCAGAATTGAATCAACATCTGGGATATAGTCCCATTGTCTTTAATCAATTTTCAGTTGTTTTACAGATGTGCTTTATAAACAGTACAAGTTTAAGAGATGAAGATAAAATAGTTTAAATAATCAATTGAGGAAAGGACTGCTATCTATTGGAATTTTTGACTGCTATTAACATTTTGTTTGTAAAATACACCTTTTGACTTGGGAAATGTTTAATATGTATTTTGGTGAGGAAAATCAGGATGAGAAATTTGTATACAGCATGATTACAGTTAAGTAAAACAAAACCTGTATATAGAAAAAAATGTCAACAGATAATGGTTGGGTAGTGGAATTTCAAACAAGTTTTGTGCTTTTCACTATTTTCCAAACTCTTAACATAAGCAAAAATTTCTTCTATAATCCAAAACCAATTTAATAGCAAAAGGAAATGCACCTAAGCATTAATAGTAATTATCCATAGATTGTAATATTATAGATAATTTTTCTTTAATCTTTTGTACTTTGTATATATCCTAAGGTTTTTTTTTAATTTTGTAATGAAAGAAAATATGATAAACTTTTTAAAAATTGATGTTTATGGATGATCTAACTATAATGGGTATCTCCAAGGTTTCAGAGTTGAGATGATGTCACAAGGAACGACCATCATGCTACTGCAGATTGCACAGTTGTTCCAAATTCTTCTCCTCCCTATTTCCACACTTTGTCATATGACTTTGCAGATAATATTTCTCCATTGCATTGATGTCAGGCTTGGCCATGTGACTTGCTTTGACTGATGATGTGGGCAGAAATGACAGTGTGCCAGTGTACCTGTTCCCTGACTTGCACATCTGCCATAAGAACCTTCAGGAACAGCTGCTCTTTCAGCCTGGGTGAAAAAACACACATGGAACCAATCCAAGTAACTCCAAGGAAGAGCTGAGCCAAACAAGCCCTGCTGCCTACAACAGGACCACCTGCTGGATCCAACCTACAGCTGCCATTCAGTCACCCCAAGAACAGGAAAGTACCTGTCTACTGATAAAAGCTTTGGAGTTCTGGGGTGATTTGTTATGCAACAAAAACTAACTGAAAAAATGTTATTGATGAGAACATTATATGGGGCTGGATAAGCAATTGCCCATATGAGGATGTCTTTGTTCTTATATTGCAGCTTAAAGTATAAATAGCCCTTCATTAGTTCTGAATCTTGATGGAGTTATATGTGTGGGTATGTGTCCATTTTCAGAGTATTATGTACTTCTGTAAAGTATATATGTGACAAAATATTAGAGTACTCAGACTACCCCCCTTACACCATTGTCTATTTGTCTTTTCTGTCATCCAGTAAAACCTATTAAATATACATCCTTTGTCATATTCTGATTCTCACTGAGGAATGGTATTTGGGGTCATAATCCTCAGCTCACTTTAAGAATTCTAAAAATGTTAATCATACCACACTATTCTTTGGTATGCAGGCTGGCATTGTCTCTTTTTATACCAGGGTTTCTCAACCTTGGCACTATTGTACTTTGAGCCAAATGATTCTTTGTTGTGGAGGCTGTCCTGTGTATTATGTTTAGCAGAATCCCTGGCCTCTATCCACTAAATGATAGTAAGCACACACTCCCCTACTGTGATTGTCAAAACTATTTCCAGCATTTCTATATTTTCCAAGGGGGGAGATTACCCTTAGTTTCAAAATATTTTTTAGAGGAAATTGGGATTCAGTTTGGTTAAATTGAAATTACAATAGTAGACATCATTGAAACACAGTTTAAGATCTAGCCTTAACAATCATTCAGCCTGTAGTAAAAATAGCAAGATCTTTAATCTTCAGAACTTCTGATACTTATAGTAAAAAATACATACATTGCCATTTTGGGGAAAAACCCAACAGCTATTATTGGCTTGACAGGTATATTTCCTAAATCTATCTGCACTTATTCTGAAGCCAGGCAACACCTCCACTGCTCACAAGAACAGACAACTTAGTGAGACAGGCAACATCATAAGCGTTTTATTTTTAGGGTACAACACCACAGCCAGCTTAACACTTCATAAAAATGAACAATGACTAGCCAGATTTGAGGAACGTCAATACCACCTTACTCAGAAATTCCATTTCTATCAAACAAAGGATGAAGCAAAAGTTTAATTTCCTGACAGTTTATATGCCTCAGCAGGAATGTGGGCAAGTGCCAGTTAAGTGCTGAACCTGACTACAGGACATGTGTTTGAAATAAATGTTAGGAAAAAAAGCTGGTATTCATAATTAGATCCTTTTCAGTGGAACTTGGATAAGCTTGACCTGCCTTAACCTCTCGGTACAAAATTTTCAAATCCTCAATGCAATCTGAGTCTGGGGCTACCCATTAAAATTACCTGAGCCTCAGTTTCCTCATCTAAAGAATAAGAAGACTGAACTGAACAGGGTCTGTGGGTCCATCAGCTAAAATATTCTGTGAGCTATATAAGAGTTCATTTATGAGTGAGGGCAAGGGTCCACACAAAAAAGGCATTGGCAAGACTGAGGACTTTCTGATAATAAGATTTGACTTACATGTCAAGAAATTTGCCCAAGAAGGTTTTCACACAAAGCAACAAAACATGATCAAACTCAATACAGTGATTCTTTCCATTCTCATTGGAGGCCTATCAGGAAATGTACATAAGGAAAATAAGGGAGTAAAGAAGGTCACTAGACACTCAACAAATTTAAGAAGTTATACCCATTGCCCAAATAAAGACTGGTTTTTTTAAGACCGAGTAGAGAAGGATTGCATATGTATTCATATCACTAAGTCACTAAATAAAGTGGACAAAACACCAGAGAATTATGACGGATAATTAGGGTTGATTTCTACAACCACTAGCCCA